CGAGGGCTTGGCGTGTAGCGACCCGTGTCAGTAGAAGACAACTGGAGATGCTGAAGAATCCATCCAAGGCGCTACTCGACAAAGGGAATGATCCCCCTCACAAGGCGACAAGGCAGCTCGAGGACGAAACCAGTCACCTCGCACCACATCAGCAGCATGCCCCCACGTGGGCGCACATGGTCTTGTCCCCTTAGCCTAGTATAAATACTCATGTAAACCTCAGAAAGAGGGATCCGAATTCATTCTCTCTAAACTCCCTTGTAAAAGCACCCGTGCATTCTCCGTTATAATATAAATTGGGTGACAGGTGTTCCACCTAAGATCCTACCGGTCAATCTACGAGTTTTTACCTCTCTTACTTTGCCAAATCAAGCAAACTATTCTAGACCCGGTCTATTATAGTTTGACCGGTCAAGTAATTTACACCATCAGGATTATTTTTTATTGGTTAAGATGTGACATGTCAGCGTGTGGCATTCCATTTTTGCCTCACCATTGTTCATGCTCTTACTATACTATTATCATTATTGTTAATATTATAACTATTCATATTATTAGTACTATTACTATTACGATTATTACTATTAATATTATTATTACTATAATTAGTATTATTATTGTCATTACTATAACTATTATTACTATTATTTTTATCATTATTATATTATTATTATTTTAGTATTATTATTACTATAATTAGTATTATTACTATTACTATTATTATTATCATTGTTGATGTTATTATTACTATTACTATTACTATTATTATTACCATTGTTATTATTATTACTAGTATTATTATTACTATAGTGGACTTCTTTTGACAATAATCATTATTGTCATATTATGATAACAATGCCTACAGTGTTTCGCTCGAAAAATTAATGGTTCCTAATCCCTCTAAACCTTTCCTTTTACCCACCACATCCCTATCCACCACAAGGATAGATATTCATTTTTATCTTTTGTTCTATTTTATTTCTTGTTCTATTCATTAATTTTTGAACTTCTCAAAACAAGTTTTAAATTTTCTATTTTAGAAAAATATTAAATAAAAATTGTTAATTTAAGACGTTAGGTAGTATATGTTACTTTTTTTCAAAAAAATAAGAAAAATATAAAAACAATTTTAAAAATAAATTTAAAAAACTTTGATTAATAAAAGAAACAAAAAAGGGAAAAACAAAAAATAAATGAAAAATAAGAATTTAACACCATCGCCTCATGGGAGAGATACCAAAGTAGGACTAAAACATTGAAAATATACCAAAATAAGACTTTCATGTTTTTATTTCCGAAATAAGACTTAAAATTAATTTACGTTACCAAACATGGTCATGTACATTTACCAACAAGTATAGTAATGTGCACATGTACAATGTCACATTACAAGTTTACAACCACATTACCACAGTGTAAAGTTCTATCTCCGGAATAAAAACATGAAAATCCTATTTTGGTACTTTTCTCTATGTTTTAGTCCTATTTATGATTCTATTATTATTACTATTACTAATATTATTATTATTATTATTATTATTAAGATTATTATTATTATTACTATTACTATCACTATTGCTACTACTATTATTACTACTACTACTATTATTAAAAATTGTCTATAGATAAGAGCAAAAAAATTTGAAAATACTAAAATATGAGTTCTATGCCTTTTAAGACCAAAATTGAAGTATAATGGCAGTGTGGTGTAAGAATACGCATTGACAGTGTGATAAAAAAGTAATGACAGTGTAATATATTATTGTGATCAGTACTGATATTTATGCTAACTTTATATTATAATAACTTTTTAAAAAAGAAGTTTTTTTGTGTATGAAAAATAACAATATTTTTATCTTAAAATAACGTGATGATGACGATGATAATAATAATAAAAAGATCACGTTATGTTGTTGTTGTTGTTGCTGCTGATGATGATGATGATGATGATGATGATGATGATGATGATGATGATGATGATAATATAACAACAACAATTAGAATTAGAATAATATAAGAATACACTAAAATAAATTTTTATAAAGTTTTTTTAGATTTCCAATTTTATGAAGTTTTTCCGGTTTCTTCTGATGCCTTCTAGTTTTTTCCAATTTCTTCTAATTCTTCTAGTTTCTTCTAATTTATTCCAGTTTATTCTAGTTTCCCCCAACATCCAGCTCTTTTTTTCAGTCATAAAGAACATGCTCTAAGTGTTAACTATTAACTTTCACTTTTTTCTAAGTTCTTCAAGTTTCTTCCACCTCCTTTGAGTTTTTTCCAATTTCTTCCAGTTTCTTCCCGCTCTTAGTTTTTCCAACTCCTAGTTTTTTCCACTTGCTTTTAGAGTTCCAGCTTCTTCCAACTTTATCTAGTTTCTTCCAACTTCTTCATATTTTTCCAGCTCTTTCCAGTTACTTTCACATCCTTTGATTTTTTTTTTCAAATTCTTCCGATTTCTTATAGCAATGACTTGATAAATGATTTAGGGGTTCAGAGGGAGTAGTTGTTGGCAGTCATTGGTGGTGAGGTGAACGGTCCAATGGTTCGACCGCCTGTGGGGTTCAAAGGGGCGAGTTGTTGGCGGTTGATCGTGTAGAGGGTGACGGCCGAGTATTTAGATTGTCTAGTGGGCAGTATCAGTAGAGACAACGTTGTGAAAGGGTGATACCTAAGCATGTGAGCCTAGATGAGAGGGAAAGATAGGAATAATTCCCAGAGGATTGGAGGAGAGTGGAGTAGATAGGAGTTTAGAGTAGGAAAGCTGATCTTCAACCAAATGAAGATGACGTGAGACATATATTTTCTGAGATCCAGGGTTGTAACATGTGTATCCTTTAATCGTAGGGTGATAACCGAGAAAGACACACAGGGTAGATCGAGTTTGTGGTGGGTGTGAGGTCGAAGCCATGGATATACAAAACAACCGAAGGGGCGAAGGTGGACGTAATCTAGAGTATGACTATAAAGTGCATCAAAAGGGATTTTTCCATTTTTTGTTGGTAAATGGTTGATGATGCAGTTAACAGTAGCCAAAGCAACAACCCATAATGATACACATAGATGAGAGTCGTAAAGTAAGGCAATAACAATCTCAATGAGATGGCGGTGCTTGCATTATATGATCCCGTTCTGCTCATGAGTATATGAACAGTATGTGTGATGGAGAATACCCAGGTTTTGAAGAAAAAGTCCAAAAACCGTATTAACAAATTCTTTTCCATTTTCGCTTCGAAAAATCAGAATGTGTCAGTAAAACTGAATTTTAACCATTTTTCGAAGCTAACAAAAACTAAGTATGCCATAGGCTCGTGTTTAAGTGGGTAAATTCAAGTGAATTTGCTAAAATTATCAATAAAGGAAATATAAAAATGCAAATATTTTTCGATGCGTCATTATGCACTAAAAAGGTGGAATGAAATGCGATGGAAAGTGGAAAAGGTAAATGGAATGAGTATAGGGGTGGAAGTACGGGATGTCGTATCCATGGAGATAGTGTGATTGGTTAGGATTCGAATGCAAAGTGAAACTAAATACCAATATCAAATTGTATATTGTGAATCAAGGCATAGTGATAAAGAAGGTGAATGAGATGCAAGTGAAATAAACTAGATAATGCAATGAATAATGCTAAGAGGAACTGTAAGAAATAAGAGGAAAGCAAGTCCAGGTTAGGGACTTCATGCTAATCATGTGAAATGACAAATAAGGGTACATACTAAAATTTGAATATAAGAGGAGCCAGGGGAAAAGAGTCATTGCACACTCAAAATCAGATTTGGGATTGCTATTCTACTTTGTCGCTATTCTTTGTCGTTTGCTGGTTTGGTCTTTGCCAGCGCTGTTACGCAGAAAAAATGACCCCCGGGTTAGGTCGCGTACGCTGGGTCGCTAATTATCAAAGAAGAACGATGGAAGCATTTGACCATTTAAGATAGACGTTTGGAAAGTCAACATTGGCCTATGCTCGCAGTTCATCCCTTGCACTCGTAATTTGACCTAAAATCAATGACCCATCACCAATTAATCCCAAATTATATTTTTTATGAATAAAACACAATTAAGCTCCAAATCATTTTAAAATCCAAGATAATAAGTATATCGAAAGATAATAAAATATGCATGAATACTCAACTTATCAAAAAACCAAAATCACAAACAGACGGGATAGAGGTCGGTCCCCAAACATGAGAAAAGATTAATTGAAATGGCGCATTGGTTTATGTTCCGAGAATTCAGAACGGTAAATGAGAAGAGTTGGATTTATGACAAGACTCACAATGTAAGTGATCAGAAAATTTAAATCCTAACGAAAATGGGCTTGGAAGGAATAATGTACAATCCATGCTCACAAGGGCATGTGTACCACACCCGATTCATAACGTTGTCTACTATATGAAAGTTACTGGTATTAAAAACAAGGGTACAATTATTATCTTTGGTAAAGCGGTGAACAAAGTGTAAATTCGAGGTAAGAGAGGGGAACATGATTAAGACATGATAGGGGATATATACCATATGGTGTATGAATATAGCCCAAGCCAGTATGCGTTATAGGTAAATTATGTCCATTACCTACACTGATAGTTTCAGTGTCATGATATGGAATCAAAGATTGCAGTTGTGCGAGATCATGCATAACATGGGTGTTGGCACCTGTATAAAAATACAAATCACCAGAGTCATCATAGCGATACTAACATGTAGCATCAGGGTGGCCACGCTTCGCACAAATTTGACATAGTGGCCACGTTTCGCACAAATTTGACTAACTAGAAGATCACGCGGCTTCCTCCTCCTCCATTACTTCGACCACCGCAAGAGGGAGCATTCCCGCGTCCATAGTGCGGTCAACCGTTGTGACCACCTTGACCGCGGCCTCGAGTGCTTTAAGAAAATTGAGCCATGTGTGCACTCCCAGAAGTAGAACAAACCATATATGTTTAACCTATTTTCTATCTCAAGGTAGATTCCTTTTGAGGTGAGCCATTTAAAAAGTTGATTTAGACTAATATTGTTGTTCTTCATGCGGATATTCTACTTAAAAGAAGAGTATTCAGTAGTGAGACCGCGGATAACAACATTTACCACATCACGTTGAGGGGTATCTTCATCCAGGACGGGCATCCAAATTTATGAGAATAGTGGCAACTTCATCGAGATATTGAGTCATAGTTTTTGTGCCTTTGCGAAGCGTCTGAAGCTTGTCTCGAAGTTGATAAATACGGGCAGTTGACACTTAATTATATCAGGCCAAAAAGCATCTTGGAGATCGACAAAAGTAGTAAAGCCCCGAGCATGTATGTGAACAGTAAGGTTAATAATAAGGGGGAATGCACGAATTTAGATGTCAATCATACACAATGTACTGTACTCAGGATTAGGGTTTACCTTCCCTTCCGTGGAGATTTTTTTTTGGTGGCACTTCTTTATGGCCATCGATCCATCCAAGAAGAAGATTAGCATCGAGGGCAGTCCTGACATTGAGAGACCAAACGAGATAGTTTTAATCTGTGAGTTTTTCGGGGACGAAATTGTGGGGATTACGAAGTAGAAGTTTTACTCTGAAAAGAAGAGAAGCGAGAGAGTGTGACGTGGAGGCCATATTCGGCGATCCAATGTCGACAAAAAAGAGAGAGAAGAGATCGGCGTCAAGGCTCGGTCGGGAAGAGGAGATTAGGTATTTGATAACATTTGCTCTGATAGCATGTTACAATTTGATAAAATATTGATCTCATTGAATATTGAACTCAAATGAGTATTTATAGTACATTGTGTAGAATTTGAAATAAAGTAGGAAGATAAATATAGTAACACAATAATAAGGAAATAAATAATATTCAGATTCTATTTATATCACATATTACTATAACAAAGAACGACCAAAATGGCCAAAGAATCGGTCTTCTTTCAGAACATTTTGTTTTGTTTTGCACGGAACCCCCTTCATTTCATACATCGCTCCATGCAATGAGTTTCTTCCGAGCTAGCTATTCAAGTTCCATATATCCTACGGAGTATAGAAGGCAATCTTGGAGTGCCTCCTACCCAGTGAGTATCAATACCATACATCCGGAAGTATATTATTTCACGTACATCCACTTAAATACTCATTTTCAAGTAACTAATACCCATTTGAATTTCAAGTAATTGAACACTCATTTTTTGAGTAACTGAATACTCATTTACGAGTATAATTAAAATTTAAAAAACTGGATATCTAGTTACTCAAAAATGAGTATGCACTTGCTCCAAAATGAGTATTTAGTAGCTTGAAAATGATTATTTCATATTTAATTATTCGTAAACGAGTACTCATTACGGATGTACAAAAAATATCGTATAACCGGTTGTACAATATATATATTATATATATGTTGTGTGTGACTACCTGTAATAAATATTACTCCCTAATGCATGTCTTGTTATATGTATGTTCCCATGGGCAAACCTCTTGGAGATGTAAAAGAAAGATGAATTTGCTAGAAGTTAAACCTTGTAGATCAGAGGATAGGATTTGTTTTTTTTCTTCTTTTTTGCTATCAAAAAACAAATTTGGGCGTGCACATAATAATTACGGAGCATAAGAATAAAGAAAAAAAGAAGAGGTCAATTGCAATTCGGGCCTCTACCCGGCCCGCCGTAGTAGAAATGGGTTCCCCACTCGTCGCTAAACGAGCTCTTGATATCGTAGCAATCGGTGTTCTCCGCGAGGGTGGATATGACCCGAACCGAACTCAAGCTGTTATCCGAATCCACGACCTCCAGGTTCCGGAAATAGCTCGCCCTTCGGAACCCTTCTTCCGCGAACAGGCCCGAGCCCATTTGGGTGGACGTGTGCTCGCCCGTGGCCCGAGAGTTGACCACCTCCCCGCCCCACTCGACCATGGTCGCCCGGTCCGCCAAGTGCGTGAACAGCTCCGCCGGCCAGTACCCGACCAGGGTGTTGTCCCCGAACCCCATCCACCAGTTCCCTAGCTTCGGATCCTGCAAAACCCGACCGAACGAATTGAGTATAGATCTGGGCACCCGCGCGAAAGCAGGAGATTGAGAAAGGACGGACCTTCCAGATGAGGATGGTGATGTCATACTGGCTGGAATCGACGGCGGAGATGGGAGAGATGGAGGCGCCGATGGCGATCCGGCTGTTTGTCTGCACAAATCCGGCGCATAGGAGGTTGTAACATCCTGTTGCTTGGTATGCATCACTCTGTTATTACGAGCCAATTAATTAGTTGAAAAACTAGTATAGGAAGCGCACAAGTAATACACCCTCCATTTTAAATAATGGTATGTTTGAGAACATGGATTTAGATTTCAAATCTGAATTTGGCTCAAATTTCATGTTTGGGAAACTTACAAATTTGGAATTTGGATTTGAATCAAATTCTTCTCATTCATAACAAAGCTTAATTTTAAATCCATACACCCCTTCTTGTCATTTGAAATTCAAGATTTCAAATTTTAGAATTGAAATAAATGAATTGAAATGAAATCCTAGTTGCCAAACACTACCTAAGAGAAATTTACCTAAATAGGACTAAAACATAATGACTTTCCCAATATAGGACCATATATTTTTATTTCCCAATGTAGTCATTATTCAAGTAAATGTCCATCATTACTGGACATTATTCTTCTCACTAAGTCATTATTAAGTCCTATTTAGGAAATAAAAAAGTTTAAGTCCTACATTGGGAAAGAGATTACTCCGTATGTTTTAGTCCTATTTAGTGCAATTTTTACTTTCAATAAACCTTTTATCTTTCATCTTTTCCCGTTTCGTCAGAATATTTTCACTTTTTATTAAAAAAATTCTTTTTACCCATATTTTTTCATATCTTACATATCACATCATACTTATTCATTAATAATTTAACTATCACATCTTACTTTACGTATCACATTAAGAGTAAAATTGAAAAGTTAACCATAAATATATTTTTGCTAAAAAGTCAAAAGGAGATGAGATTACTGAAACTAGAGAGTAGTAGTTATTCATGCCTTTACTTTGACCAATAGCTAGTTGTCTCATAATTAAAGATTATTAGAGTTTGTTTTTTGGTCAAATTATGTAATATGTTGACAACAAATGGAATATATTTTTAAATAATTAAATGTTCTAAAAATACTCCAGTATAATACCGAGTATTTCAAAACTATATTTTAAAACAAAAATAATTTTACTAAATTAACATTATAATTAAATATTTTTTTTCACAATTTGTAATTAAAGTACCATACCACAGTTCAGCTAAAAAAATTCAATCCGATAACTTTGTGGAGGGAGGGAGTAGGAAGTAGGAAGTGAAATAAGATTGAAATCTGACCGTCCAATAGGTGAATAATCTCGGTCTGTTATCACCATACAGCTCCGGACTGACCTGACTAGTAGAACAATCAAAGATTAGGAATTTTATTTGTTTGTTTTTCATTCATTTTTCAGTCAAACATAAGAAGGGAAATTTACTTAAATAATATACTAAAATATAACGACTTTCCACAAATAGCATCATATGCATTTTTTTCCCAATGTAGCACTTTTAGTCATTATCCATTGGTCATTATTCAAGCAAATGTTCGTCATCACTGTACATTATTCTTCCTTCCGCACATTATTAAGTGTTATTTAGGGAATGAAACAATTTAAATTCTATTTAGAGAAATGACTTAAGTTTTAGTGTTATTTAGTGCAAATATTTCAAATAAGAATACAACTATAATCTGTAATCAATTAAACACTAGACTCCAGCAAAAAAAATTGTTAAATTTAACCAAGGAGAAGGGGCGGGAAGGAGTACCTGCCAGCCAGCTTCAATGCTGTTGAGATCAGAGCCGTCGAAAGAACCGGAGAGGACCCATATCTGGGAGAGGCTAAACTCGTTGCCCGTCTCTATCGACGGCTCCCACACGTTTATCGTCGCCTTCGCTCCATATATATCCTCTGAGGCGCCGGTGTACGCGATTGCATGCTACATTATCCATTTTGTATAATAATTAAGGCCACGAACCATTATGTCGCGGTATATATTTTGAAATCATGGCCAGACAATAATTATCGGTGAGAAATTTATTCTGTGAGAGAGACATTGCTCATCTCCACCTTGGTGAGTTTGTGGGAAAAATGTCTCTTATTTAATCTTTCCCAATAATGTTATTGTAACACATAGCTACTTGAAATTTTGTGATGGTTTATGGCAACCAGCTGCATGGGGCTACCCCTTTCAGAGCCTAATCATAATTATCCAAGTGGAAAGGTATTTAATGATTTATATGTACCAAGTTAAATTTCCTTGTGTTACACTTTATTCTTGTTATAGATTTTTTCTTGCAACAAATTCTTACCATGACTACAATTAATCCAAACAATTTGTTACTTTTGAAATGACAATTTTTGGTTATAAATGTCATTTCAAAAAAACTAAAAAGAACATATCAGAAGACGATTAATTGTCTATATTGACTTAAATTACGCACTAACCTCATGACCGTTGCCGCTAACGACGTCCGGTGCATCGGCACGCCGGGCAAGCGGAGCGTATCGCCGCTGCTGTTTCTTCCCGTAATCGTAAAGAGATTTGGCCCTCAACACGTCATCCACCGTGCTCCGCCGTATCGGCACCGTCCCTTTAGGACAGCGTAGCCCTCTCTGGTGCCACAGCTGCTGCACGGCACCCATGCCGCTGTGGTTGCCGGCGGCGGCGCTGGTCACCCTCACCCGATACCCACCACCAGCTGCTTCCTCCAAGTGTTGTTGTTTCATCATCTTAGGCATCTCCGGCGCAACCCTCTGCACTCATATATAATCAAATTAACTTTCAATTAACTACTGTATTTTTTATTCATAAAAAAACTTTTAAATTAAAGGTATACCCATATTAATATTGACATTGACGCACTTTGTTAACGCCTAATGGTACGTATATACTACATCCGTCCCAGTGTATTCGTTCAGTGTGACTTTTTCGAGTCAAACAAGCTCAGTTAAACAAAAAGGGTTATGCGTATTAGTATAAGAATTATTTCATTAGACTTGTCTCCTTGAGAACTTTTAAAATTTTATTTTACGGTATAAATATGCAATACTAATTGAGAGCAATTGGTGATTAAAGTTTGTCCAATTTGATTCAAAAAAGTCAAACTGTACGAATATACTGGGAGGACCAGAATAATATACTTGGTATTATTTGTGTATACCGCTGGATCCAATCTATATTGATTACAGTAGCTTGTAGCTTAATTTAAGGAAGCCATTGATCACTGGGCTGTGCACTTATGCGGAGTAATAATAAAAGAAGGGGAAAAAAATTGAAATGAATTGAAAGGCAGGTAGTTGGTAGTTGAAAATAATAATAACAGGTATTAATAATGATCATCATCACCATCATCTATCCCTCATATATATATATCTTATTTAATTCTTCTAGAGAGATGGGTGATTAATACCTTATCTATTACTCTCTCTGTTTTCCAAAATATTTTATTTTTTTTCTTTTTCACCAAAACAATTCTACTTTTTATGAAAAAAATAGTTTTATACCGTCCGTTTTTATCTACTTATTACATCATACTTTTTCACTAATCTACTCATCATATTTTATTTTTACTCACCATATTAAGGGTAAAGTTGGAAAGTCAACTACAAATATACATTCCTTATTTCACCATTAGGCAAAATAGGAATTGTTTTGATGAAAGGATGGAGTATAAAATTCTTAATTATTAATAAGGAGCATTAGTATACCTTAACTTATTAGCTTCATTTAAATGTAGGGCATGCATTATGTAGCATATACTGTATGTTACCTGGATCTTGTGGTTCTTGAGAAGAGGATGATCAAGAGCTGGCTGTTTCCTTTTATGAACACAATCTATAATATCTCCATCTGGGCTCTGAAACACAAAACCACATGCAATAATGTGCATACATATATTAAAAAAATTAATTAATGTAACCTCCGCCAAATCATTTGTAGGCTTAACAAACATATATAAAATTACTCCTTATTTAATAATAATGTGTTTTGAAACCAAGCAACACTGTTTTGATGGGATGATAATCTATCCCGATCGAGCTTGAATCCGAGTCGAAATTATAGAAACCCGAATGTTTTTACTAGACACGCACTAGCAAATAGCTAACTCATCACATAAAAGGGAGGCTCGATTTGGGTCGTTTTCGAAATTTCGAATAGAATGTCACACACATATATACACGAAATATAGATGTGGAGAATAAATTTTTAATTGGAGTAATAAACACAATTTAGTGAATAAAGTATCCATGTGAATTACCTGGATGGTAAGAAGAGGGGATTTGTTAATGGTGTTAAGATGGTTGTGAATCCTAGCAAGCCTAAAGCTGCTCACATATCTCTGCCTGCTGCTTCTCCTTGTTGTTGTTGTTGTTTGGTTTGCTTCCAATTCGCGATCACTCCTTTGGCACAACGCAGTTGATGATGAAACACAAAACCAAACTACAATGTAAACATGAAGAAGAAGAAGACCCCAAGAAGAAGAAGAAGAAGAAGAAGAAGAAGAAGAAGAAGAAGAAGAAGAAGAAGAAGAAGAAGAAGAAGAAGAAGAAGAAGAAGTTCTTTTCGAATTCCAAACAGTGCCCATTTCATTCTGTGCCATTGCAATGACGTACCGGTGGCCCGGAAGAAATAATAATGAAGGTACACTTTTTTTTCTCTATGTTCTTTAAATATTTTGTGAAGTGACGAACTGAACCAGAATGAACCACCTGCCTGCAGAGAGATATTAATGAAAAGGGGATTGGAAAAGGGGAAAGAAAAGAAAAAAGAACAGTTCTGCAGACTAAAGAAGAAGAAGAAGAAGAAGAAGTATATATATATATATATATATATATATATATATCTGGATTCAGCAAGCCATAATAAGTTTGTTAATTATCTGGTGCCATATATACTTACATATATGCACTGAATTTATATATATATATATATATATATATATATCAAAATCAGTAAATAATGAACGAGTTAATTAATTTTACATGGCTGTTGCTGACTAATATATAAGCAAATATATAAAGGTTGAAGAAAAAGAAAATGAAGAAAAGAAAATTGAAGGTAGTTGTTGTGAGAGTGAAAGGCTGGCCGGGGGATACATGAATTAATTATTTGTACAATGCGTAGAAAGAGAGGTAATTATTACTTGAACATTAATTAAGTAGTGTGAGTGTGTGTAAATATCTCTCAGAGAAAGAGAAAGGGGTGAGATGGTTTGGGAGGAAAGATATGAATGAATATAGGGAGTGGAGTACTATTATCATACCATACCCAACTTCTCAACAAGAAATTAAAAAGCAATTGAAATGAGAGGGCCGGGGGAGCCAATGGCTTCTCTTAATTTATGGCCAATTGAATATTTTCATCTGCCTCTCTGTCAAATCTTCTCCCCCATTAATATACTCCATCTTCCCCTCCCCTTTTTTTTTTGAGTGATTCTATGCTACATGGACAAGCCTCTCCCATTTTTTCTTTTAAATTTTCAAAATGCTTATTTCTCCTCCAACCCCATCCCTATATCCCTTTTATGTATTGGCTAAGCATTTGACATCAACAACAGACTTAAGGGTGAATATGGTACGCTATTTAGCTCGTACCGATATCGTATCGAATTATTAGGTTTGGTGTGAAATTTTATGTCGTATTGATCCCGATACTAAAATATCAATTTGGTATGATTTGAAATAGTTCGATGTCGCTTTCAGTACAGATCACGAAGAATACATATATACCTAGTTTACACTTTAAAATGTAATAAAATCTTTTATTTTTGAAAAAAAGAAAGTAGGTTTAAATAAAGAAACATAAAAACTGCAAATTGAATAATTAATTGCAAAAAGTGAATATGAGACTTAATTAGTTTATATTTCATAAACTAAAAATACTAATGGTAACAAAATAGTACCACAGAGTATAGGTATTTCAAATCTTTGTAAATATTTAGAGTAAATTCCATAAAAGGTTCCCAATTATAGGTCGTTTTACATATTTAGTCCCTACATATCAAATATTACGAATTTAGTCCCCAATTATTATATTCATTTCCATGAATGGTCCTTTGTTAACATTTCCGTTAAAAATGTGGATAAAATTGTAAATTCATACTCCTTTCTCTCCTTAATTAAGCTTCCCCCTCCCCCCGCACTCCTTTCCCAAACCCGTCGCTGAGTTTGAAGCTTTGAACCCAAAACTGAAATCATCACTCTTCTCTCAATTGTTTGTCTATCTAGTGGAACCCAAATTCGAAACCAGTAACCTTCTGGATGAGTTTTAGTGTTTATTTTCTTTGCAATTTCTTGAGACTAACCGATAAAACTCATTCATAAAGCTGATCGGTTTTGATTTTAGGTTCCACCAGGAAGACTAATAATTGAGAGATGAATGATCATTTCAGTTTTGGGTTTAGAGCTTCAAACTTAGCGGCGAGTTTGGGAAAGAGTACGAGAGAAGGGAAAAAGCTTAATTGAGGAGAGAGGGAAGTATGAATATACAATTTTATCCATTTCCTAACAAAAACGTTAACAAAGGACCATTCGTGAAAAATGATTTAATAATTGGGGACTAAATTAGTAATATTTGATATGTAGGGATTAAATATGTAAAACGACGTATAACTGGGGACCTTTTATATAATTTACTTTATTTTTATTTATCTATAGAAAACTAAAAGTCGAATAAAAGTATAATTATACGTTATAAAATTTGAACCAAATTTTCAAAATATGTTTATTACATAGTACTCCGTATTTAAAAAAGAAATATAAATAGATTATTATTGTTATAATACATTAGTAAATATGTTCGGTTTAAGATTTTTGGCATGAGAAGTTAGTTTGTACAATTTTCAAATGTCGTGCCCATCATTTGGTTCGGTAGTATTAGTTCGTTTTGGTATTTTTTTAGTACTCTCGATTTTTTGGTATTTTTTTGGAATTAGTTCGGTACTTACTCACCCTACCAAGACTTACACAAAGACATTTAATATTTATGTGTGTACAAATATTAAGTGTGTGTTTGTCTGTATAACTTCTTGTGTACATTTGGTGCCAATTCAAATACATTGTGTTGCCCTAGAACCACTTGAATGTTAAAACTACTATACCTCCATCTCCTATTATTGTGTCTAAGCTAGTTTTTTTAGTCAAAACAATGGTAATCAATTAAACAAAAAACAATTTCCTCCAGCCTTAAAATATTTCCTATTTTGAGTTTCTGTATAAAGATTTAATGGAAGATATTTTTCTTTTGACTTGCCCAAATTATCAATAGATGTGATAGACAAAAGTATAATATGATGGATAGGTTAGTTGTAGAACTTGATAGGTAGACTACTATAGAAATAAGCTTTTGCATAGATTTTTTTTGACCTTTTGAATCAGTTTATAATTGATGCAAATGATACCGATGCAATTGGTGCAAATAATTTTTGCATCGATTTTTTAACTGATGCAAAAGTACTCTATCAGTACCTAATTCGCGCTTCGGAAGAGGCTTTTGAATCGGTTATCTACTAATAACCGATTCAAAAGGTGCATGCTTCCCAGGATTAGCGCCAGTTTTGGTGGACGCTTTTTAAATCGGTTATTACTAAAAAACTACTTCAAAAGGTGCTGCCCAGAATTGGCGCCATTCTAGGAAGAACCTTTTAAAACGGTTGTTTAGTAATAACCGATTCAAAAGGTGCTTCCTAGAACTGGCGCCAAATCTGAGAAGCACCTTTTGAATCGGTTATCACTAAACAATGGATTTACAAGTATTGTTTTTAAAGAGCAAAAATTAGAACAGAACACACACAAAATAACAGAATAGAGCACTAAGAAACACAACACATCAGAGAAAAAGAGCAAAACTTTCACTACAAGAAAATATCAATATTACAATAGATACATTGCAACAGACTTTTTTCTATTGTGGAATTGCGACAACTTTTTCATTTGTAACGAAATTATTGCACAACAGACTTGTTTGCAATGGAAGTTTTTTGCAACGGTTTTTTTGCAACAGAAAGTGCTAGTATCTGTTGCAATTTTGGCGGGAGGTTGGCGCCTTTTTAACAATACATTCATTTTAACAAAACAATCACACAATTCAATACATACTCACAAGCTAATTATATGTATGAAATTTAAACTAATTCTTCAAGAAAACTTCGGCCCAAAACTCTCCAATCTCATCCAATTCGGTATCTGTGTATGGCACAGTAGTTTGAAACACCTACAACAAAAACGAAGATATACGACGATAAATCCAAAATAATCATAAAGAACAAGACAAACCATTATACTTTATATAATAAAGAAAGCATCTTAGTTATAAGAACACAATAAAACGAGCTTACATCAGATAACGACATAGAACACTGAGCATATAAAGTGACGACGAGCCATATAAATCGCATAATATAATATCCACACTCTATCCCCCCAATTGTTGTGGTACTATGGAAACATCAACCCACTCTGGTCTAGCCTTAAGTTGAGGCATTTCATTTTTTCGAAGTAACCACCAAGCCCATAAAAATTAAAAAAAAAACGAATCGTTATGAAAATAGTTCATGATAAATGAACACTTCCTTCAATATTATTAATATATATTACTCCCTCCGCCCCCCTGTATTTGTCCACATTTGACTTTTGAAACTGTTCATCTAAGCACTTTAACTCATCAAATTCTCTCAATGTGTAAGCCTAAATATAGTCATGTGTGATCTTGTTTGATTTGTCTTAACATATAGATTATTAATATAATTCTATAATATTTTAATATACAAATTACAAGATAAAATGGATTAAAGAAGTGCATTGGATGGTGTGTAAAAATGAAAGTGGACAAATACAGGGGGACGGAGGGAGTAATAGTTACTCGTTTACGAAAATCTTCACTCTCATATTAGTACTTACTCATTTGTTTGGACAAGTAAGAGGTGTAAATGAAAATGTTTTTAGAGATGGATGAAGCATATTGAACATCAATACAAAAATATAATTTCATTACATTTTTCATACAAAAAAATGTCTGAAATTTATTTCATCATATAAATATGCAATGCGAATTTAATGTAATTAATGTTTGAAAATCATTCAATTTGACCTTAAGTAGTGGATAAATATTTTAGGATAGATGATGGATCCCTAATATTTTTCTATAGACTATTGGGCAGTACAAGGTCCAATTATTAATAGCCCAGACCTTGTAACAGTAAAGAGTAAAAGTATAAGAGTAATTAATTACAATAACTTGTAAAAATGGATCACACACAAGAATTGGGCTTAAACTGATGTACTCTTCTCTAAACCATCCGTCTTGGGATTAGAATATTCTCAAGGAATGCCAGAATATTCTTTTTTACTTAGTATATAGCTTTTTCTTTCAAGTTACAAGATGGTTTCTCAAAGGCATCATCAAATCCCTGTCTTTTATGTGAAGTCTCCCCCAACCACCATCCTATCAATATATATCTGGTGGTTGGAGAAAGATCAGGGAGATCTCATCCTCCTTCTTCGATATCTTCCTCCGCTCTAGGTTATAAGCTCAAAGACAAAATAGGCCGGTGGACAAATGTTCTCCATTTCTTTTGTCTCAAATTATAGACATGAAGACATTTGTTCACTTCCCTAAGAAGGTGCTTCCCTAATCTAATTAAGATGGGCCGTGTCATCTCTTGAATGACCCGATCCTCTCTTGGGGTATAGCCACATGTTTGCTCAAGCCCAATGATCCTAGTCTTCTGTAGCATTTGAGACCTGATTCTTTACTTAATGGATCCGAACTGAGTCTGGACTGGTCCGATCTTCCATGTCTTAATTGAGTTGGGTCTCCTAATGTCATTGACCCTTGCTTGGGCTTCAGGCACATCTCACGCCCGGCCCATCTAACATATCATGATGGGCCATGTTCCCATCACATGCCACTTTTTTTACAAGTAAAAAATAAAAAGGATTTTTGGCTTCTCCAATTGGTCTTCCTTGTCCTCGAGTTAATCCAATTTACTTTTTCAGAGCATTTGGTCAAATAAAGGCTGAATATCGCGTTGTAGCAAATGTCATAGCAAAAGCCAGCTAGATTCGTAATCTTCTTGTCGAGCTTCGTCAACCCCTCCGTAAAGCCACTCTTGTTTTCTGTGACAACACTAATTCTGTGCATCTCTCGACGAATCTTGTTCAGCATCAACACACTAAACATGTTAAAAAGTAGACATTCACTTCGTACGAGACAAAGTGGCCCTTAGACAGGTTCACGTTTTGCATGTTCCCTCATCCTCCAAGTATGTTGATATATATTCACAAAGAGTATTTCGTCTCACTAATTTCTCGATATCTGAGACAGCCTAGGTATTCGGTCCACTCCTCCAAGACCAGTTGGAGCATTATAAAAAAGTAAATATATTTAAATAATATTGTTTTCTTTTGTATGGATTTTCATTATTATATTCCTACATTTTGTATAATCTTACCATGTATAAGAGTAGTTAAAAATATTGTATACTCCGTAAATATACCCGGCCCCTTGTACTCTCTTTTACAAATTAATAAATAATTATTCCGTTCTTTACATCCAAATGCATAACATACTGTATTTACATAACATAATGTTCAATTACATAGGAATATATATTATGTCCAAAAAACATAATTAATTAATTTATTCCTTAGGTTGGCATCAACATTTTTTTTGAGTAGCTTCTAGTCCACAGTTCACAGCCATTAGGTAGGCATCAAGATTTAACCGAGCTTGAACGCAATATATGCAAACAGATTTTTAACAAGGGCTACGATCTAACTTTCAAAGCAGCAACAACTTTCTATGTACCAAACATTCAAATTAGATTATTGATAAATACAATAAAACGTTCAAATGAGTAAATTGGGCCGGGGTTGATGTTATAGTCATACCTACACTCTCTAACGTAATTTTTTTCAGTTTTCCTTTTTTAATTGTCTAAAAATATTATTTACATTTTGTTTTTAAAAGAAATTGTGTATAATTACTTTTTTTTATGACTTTTGTTAAATACTCCCTCCGTTCTTAAAAACACTTATTCTTTCATTTTTTTCACTTCCAACAAAACACTCTCACTTTCTATTAAAAAAACCACTTTTACCCTTATTTTTTCATACCCTACCTATCACATCATACTTTTTCTCTAATAATCTACCTATCACATCTTACTTTTACCCATCACATCAAGGGCAAAATTGGATGTCAACTACAATTTAACACTTCCTTATTTTTCCACTTTTTCAAAGTAGGAACTCTTTTTTAGAACGAGGGAGTAGAAAATTTGGCTAAAATAGACCATCTAATTATAAGCAGTCTTCTTTGGGCTTAATTACCAAAGATATTGACAACACTTTTGACCATTAATTAATGAACATATATATTTCTTAGTGAAGCGAACGTTTTAATATACCCCTCCGTTCCAAAAAAATGGGACGGTTTGACTTTTTGGGAAATTAAGGGAGAGATATTTTGGTATTGACTTTCCAAAAATACCCTTGATATGATGGGTAAAAGTAGGATGTGATGGGTAGATTGTTAGAAAAAAGGTATGATGTGATAGGTAAGGTATGAAAAAGTAAGGGGTAAAAATGGTTTTTTAATAGAAATGTAACGGACTTTACGGGACGCAGTTTTTTCTAAACGTAACAAACTTTTTGGGACGGGGGGAGTATTATACACAAAGATGATCAATAGGTAAATAAGATATTAATTCGCCAATTTATTCCATTGGATTAAAAAATGGTTGGGATTATGTTGAATTTTGTCGAGTATATAAAACTTTATAAATACCCAAAATAATGGAAATAATCAATAGAAAAATTTGCACTAAATATAACTAAACATAGGTCATTTCGCAAAATAAGACCTAAACTGTTTTATTTCCTAAATAGGACTTAATAATGTCTAGTGGGAGGAATAATGTCCGGTGATGGTGGACATTTACTTGAATAATGATTCATATATAATGACCAATAATCCTACATTGAGAAATAAAAACATACTCCCTCCGTCCCAGAGTATTTGTCCACTTTCATTTTTACACACCATCCAATGCACTTCTTTAATCCATTTTATCTTGTAATTTGTATATTAAAATATTATAGAAATTATATATTAATAATCTATATGTTAAGACAAATCAAACAAGATCACACATGACTATATTTAGGCTTACACATTGAGAGAATTTGATGAGTCAAAGTGCTTAGATGAACAGTTCCAAAAGTCAAATGTGGACAAAAACTGGGGGACGGAGGAAGTATGATCTTATATTGAGAATGTCATTATGTTGTAGTCCTATTTAAGTAAATTCCTCTAATAAATAAGTGGATTAACAAGGCTGATGGGGAGAAAAATTGGCCTCACCAGGCACTAGCCACTGATAGGGCTGTTCACGTGAAGGTCTGGACAGAAAAAATCGACCAAATCTGACCATTCGGTCCAGACCAAATCCAAACCGAATGGATTTCGAGTCGGTCTTAGGTCCAAAAAATTTAGGTATTCGAGTTTCGATCCGGTTCGGTCCAAAACCGAATTGATTTAGATGTGGACCGGTTGGACCGAATGGACCTAATAACCCTATTGGACCTAAAAGACCTAAATACAAATACTCTACTTTACTTGAATAGATATTTTAATTTATTTAATTAAAAAAGTTTTTGTTAAGATTTTTTTAAAAAAAAAAGTTCAAAAAAAGTTTAACATTAGTTTTTATTATTCTACATAGAAGTAGTCCATGTTGTGTATCTATTTTTAGGTTGTCTATTTTTTCCGATTTGTAAGGTACAAAATAAAAAGCCTAAAATATTTTTTTTGAAAGACAAACCATCAAAACCTAAAATATATTTAATTGATCAAAATAATTAAAAAAATAGATTTTTATTCGGTCCAATCGGTCTGGACCGGTGCGGTCCTAAGTAATCCTACCTATTGCAATTTCTCCACCAACTTTGTGAACCACCTTTCCATCACAATAGGAAAACAATTTAGGCTTCGTTTGGTAATAGCGTTTTCGATTAGCGTTAGCGTTTTGGATAAAATTTTAATGGTGTAGATTAAATCTAAAAACACTAACGCTAAAGGCTACCGTCGGATAGCTTTTTGAAAACGCTAACGCTAATCTCTAACGCTGATGCCAAACGGGACCTTAATGAAGACATACATAACTCGTTTAATCTCATATAGATTTCCCTAAGGTGGTGTTTGGCAACTATCATTTCATTTCAATTCATGCATTTCAATTCCAAAATTTGAAATCCAGAATTTCAAATGACAAGGGGAGGTGCATGGATTTCAAATTAAGTTTTGTTTTGAATGTAAAGAATTTGATTCAAATCCAAATTCAAAATGTTTAAGTTTCCCAAACATAAAATTTAAATCAAATCCGGATTTGAAATCCAAATCCATGTTCCCAAACATACCATAAAGGAGAATTTAACACAAGTTTGTTCATGAAATAATTAAGAACTATTTAATACGAAATAAAACTCCCGATGATAACTAATAATGGTAAAGGTTTATTCTCTCATTATAATTATTAATTAAATCAGTTATATATGCGGCCTTTCATGGTACGGTGGAGTCCTCCAAATCCATGAGAGTGCTGAGGTTCATAGGATGCATGTAGTCATTGGAGCCTTTCAACATCTGGTCAACAATGATTCGGTTAGCCTTTTCCGATGGGTGGAATGCGTCCCAAAACACATACTCGTTTCGGTCTGGGCACAAGTTGGACAGTGGTGTGCACAGCCCAAGCCCATTGAATCGCCCTTGTCCACAACATGCCACCTTTGATGTCCTGAATCCTGCATGCCCATCCATTTATATTTATTATCCATAAAATCAATGATGATCTCAAAAAAATATACTCCCTCCGTCTCATAAAACCTTTCTCCTTTCTTTTTTCATCCGTCCCATAAAACACTTCTCATTTCTATTAAAAAGTCACTTTTACCCCTTACTTTTTTATATCCTACCTATCACATCATACCTTTTTACCAATAATCTACCCATCAAATCCTACTTTTACTCATCACATCAAAGGACATTTTTGGAAATTTAATACCAAAATACACTCCCTTAAATCTCTTTAAAAAGCAAAACATCCCATTTTCATGGGACGGAGGGAGTATATATGGAGAGAGTAATAAAAACTTACCAAAAGATTGAGGGCGAGTGATGAAATCGAGATGCATTTGATTAATGTTGGCTCCGATAAACACGTCGCGGTTTATCTCGCGATTGAGTTGCTTGATCATCTCAAGTAGTTGAGGGTTGTACAAGGCGGAGGCGCGCTGCAGCTCCTTTGCGCATTCGCCGTTGCGGCTGTGCTGTGCTAGTTCTGCGGGCACACACCCTAGCGGTCCCGTCCCGGTAACTAGGACCCTCCGAGCTCCCAAATCATATAGTCTCTACATGCATCGTCCAATATTTATGGAGTACATTTTAATTACCACAACTATTTGATTTTTAGCTTCAAGATCACTTCCCACTCCCACAAAATCATTTCACTTTTATTTACTTTTTTATATATCCATTGTGTTAGAGTTTAGTATCACACATCGGAAAAGTGAAAAAGAAATAATTGGTATGTAAGCTCTTGAGTTGAATTAAGTAATCGATTTGATTCAATCTTTTAATATGGTTCAGGCCAAGTGTCTTATGGCCCAGCTCAATAAGCCATACCCCATTCAAAATTCCACCACACGGGGTTTGTTCATTTTGACACTATTTGATTTGGGGGCATCTTCAGAGCTTCGTTGAGTCTAAAAATAATTCCTACCCGTAATTCTTATCGGGGTTAAAGGGTAGGAATCATTTTCGGGTCTAAAACACAACCATAGGTAGGTGTTTGATGTCAGAACCTGACATTGAATGTCGATGTCAAATAAAGAAGCGAAAACCCAATTCAAAATGGAAGTTCTTTGTGATTTGATTATTTGAAAAGATTGAGGGAGTAGTTTGTGTGTGTAAATATAGGTAAATATATAAATGTCGTTGTTACCTTCAGAACTTTTTTGTACTCGGAGATGACGAAGGTGACGTAGTCGGGGAGGGGATATTGGCGAGACCTGAAAGAAAAGGGCACCAGGAAGTAGTTGTTGACGAAATCGTTACCGCCGAGGGTGATGAGAACAAGGGCTTCGTTCACCAGCTTCTTGGCCTTCTCCGCCGCCCCAACCACCGCTGCCAATCTCTCCTGGTACTGCGCAAAGTAATCCAGCTGCTGGTGGATCCTTATTATGTTCACCTGCATGCATTTCGATCATTATATATGCAAGTCAAGATTTATTATTATACTCCTCCCTCCGTCCCAAATTATTTGCAACTTTTGCTTTTTTAGTAGTCACGGGAACTTTTGTTTATTTCTATGTTTTCATTGGTTATTTGATAAAATAAAATATTCTTGACACCTCTTATTTCGAAGAACTTTTCATGTAGTTTTTTGATATGTAAATTTTGTTTTTTTATTTCTATACCAATATGTAAATAAAATGAATTGATAAAACTTTATATTTTGCCCCGGGAATACAAATGTGCCAAATATTTAGAGACGGAGGGAGTATCTGAACTTTGCACTAATTAATACGGAGTATTAAAACATGGCAATTTTTTTTGTAAACTTAAGGTCCATATTTATTTCACGGACCTTTAAGCATTTGTAGGATTAAAGTAGAAGGCCTATTGCAAAAAGAAAAATATCCACATGCAAGCTCATTAAAAATGTGAGAAGGTCTACATTTAATTAAATGTAGACCTCATGTAAGCATCACTCTTAAAACATATGCCTTTCTTAAAGTAAATGTACATAATTTTTACCTAAATAGTACTTGAACAACATCTAGAAGCAATGGACATTTACTGAGTAGGTAAATTTTCCCTTTATTATATTGTTGTTGAAATGGAATGGAATAAAAGGTGGCCGGTATAAGGAGGTAAAAGGAATATACGAATTGGATCCCGGTGTCGTTAAGGACACCGACGCCGGCAGAAGCGAAGTTGGCACCGACCAGAAGCTTCTTTCCACTTAACGCCGGACTCAGGTATGGCATTAGAGGTTCCGAACCCAGCTTTTCACCTGCACTTACACACTCGTTAATATATATATATATACATATATATATATATATATATATATATACATATATATATATATATATATATATATATATATATATATATATATATATATATATATACACGAATCAATTAATTAATTACCATGCATGCATTTTTTACTAGGATCGGTTTGTCTTTAGTATGATCAATTAAGGGGTTGCGACGTAAATGTTGGCCGTGTGATGATAATTAGTAGTGGCGGATCCAGGAATTTTGATAGATGCATGGGTTATTAGCACAGTCTTGGGAGGGGCAGCGCCACGTGATCCCATTTTTTAATAAACTATATCAAATGACAAAAAATACTAAATTTTATTTCAAACATTTATTACTCCGTAATAGGTAATGTAATATTTTATTTCATAAACAATTAATTATGTGCAATAAAATATACTTTACTAAAAATAAAAATCAACAAAAAATTTAAATTTAGCCTGATTAGATTGATGTGGTCACATTAATTTTTGTTGGGGACAATATATATATCTATAACTTAAGAAAAAATTACCTTATAAAAATGATTAGTAGGGGGAATATGCCCCCAACTCAAACTAAGTGTGATAGAATTTTAGAATTTGGTAGAGATTACTGGATTGAGTTATAAGACACTTGGGCTGAACCACATTAAAAGATTGAATCCAATCGATTAGTTAGCTCAACTCAAGAGTTTATATATACCGATTAATTTACTCACACTTTTTCGATGTGGATGCTCTTTAACACTCCCCCTCAAGTGGACAACCGGGCCATTTTGAATCTAACCGGTAGACCCAGGCAGGCCAAAACCTGCTCCGATACCATGATAGAGAATCACATAAACTCCCATTCCCTTGTAGAAGAGTGGTGGTAATATGGTGGTGAACCACCGGTCAACTGTGGTCAACACCTGTTGACTTGTTGGGACTGCGCGTGACCTCACCCCAACCCCGCATTAGTATGATATTGTCCGCTCTGGGTCAAGCCCTCACGGATTTGTTTTTGGGCACTTCCCAAAAGGCCTTATACTAATGGGGTTGGGTGAACCTATATATTTTGGTTCAATTACTCCTAAACATCCGGTGTGGGACTTGGAGGAATCCCAACAAACCTCTCCTCAACCAAGGACCACACAACTTCCGACCTCCCCTCCAGCGGTAATCCATTTTTCCTTTTTATCTGCTAACCATCTTGCACCGCCGCACACTCTTTGCGGGACACGCCGTCCGACCTCTGTCGGGAAGACTTTCGACGCAAGGCTCGAACCGCAGATCTTTCTTTCGCTGGGCTACACCATTTGATCCGCCTAATCATCTTGTACCGCCGTGACTATAACTTCACGGGACGCGCCGCCCGACCTCCTCTCGCCGGGAAGACTTTCGACACAAGGCACCACCTGCAGATCCTCTTTCTTGGTCTTGGTCCTAGTTACACCGTCACACCGAGATTTTTCCACACTGCACTGTCCGCTACTCCCGCCCGCAAGAACCTGGGCTCCGGTACCACATGTTGGGATTTTAAGCGCGTAAGATACCGAAAAATATTGAGAACACCAGAAAAATGAGAGAACAAACACAAGGAGAATATATGAGAGAAAAATTATATCTTCACTATTTCAGAACGATACACAAAAAACTCTCCCTGTTTACAAGTGCTAAATACCAGACACTTATAAACAGACTTTTCACACCCTACACCCGGATGTATTTTCCGAGTAACTAAAAACCAGTTACTCCCTACACTCACTCACACAATATTGGTGATATCTTGTGTAACACCTCTCTTTTTAACCTTCCTCTCCTTTTTTTCTCCCTACACTCCTTGCCGTGTTGTTCCGTGGCTATTAAATAGCCAAAAAACCATAATAATGGGAATATTAATTGACAACTCCAAGGGGAAGACAACAAAACTCTAAAAAAAAGGCACTCCATCATGCAGCTCCTCTTGGTTGTTTCCACGCAGCATCATCTCTTTTTTTTTATTCCTTTTTTTTTCTTTTTAATTAATCAATCCCAACAAAC